TTGTCTTGTCTTGTCTTGTCTTGTCTTGTCTTGTCTTGTCTTGTCTTGTTTTGTTTTGTTTTGTTGGGGGGAGGACACAAGGGTAGAAGGGTGGACCTGGGAGGAATGGAAAGTGAGTATGAGGGGGTACATTGTATATAATTCCAAAATAATTCATAAAAAATTATGTTGGGGAAAGGAGAAGAGGCTTCTCCCTGCAATCAAATGAAGGATCATTTCAAACATGCCACAATGATTGTGCAAATCCTATGCCACATTGGTCACTGAGACCACCCTGAGAACCTGGGAGCAAGGCAGGATAGGTGGTTGAGGGGTGCTTTCTACATTGAAGTAAATGAAAAACTGACTTAAGTGTTGCTTCACCTAAGCAGCACAACCAACAATGAGAAATTTCTAGAACATGATTTTCAACTCACTGCAGGGTCTTGAAGAATTCCACTATTTAGCATTATGGGAGCTGTCTGTTCTCAGGCAGCTCATTCATATGTCAGCTGATCCATGTGAATTTGTTTATTAAAACTGTTTGGTCTTCCTAATTTTTTCCAGTGTGCAGGGGAAGGTAGTAAGTGAGCTTGAGGAGGGATGAGGGGATGAGAAATACTCAAAGTGAATGCTCTCCCCAAGTGTCTGTCTTACTATCTACTTTCCAAAGGACAAAAGAGGCTGGATCACAAGATCAGAGGGTCGATTTCCAGGGAAAGGTGTCTTAAGGCATCGTCTCTTTCAAGTAAGAGACTTTCTTCTTTATTTCTCTTACTGTCTGAGATTCTAGATCCAGGTTCCTTTTGCTCATTTGCAAACAACCGGTAATTTTCTCCTGTGGTCTTTGTTACGCATTATGCTACAATTATGTCATCTCCTCTTCCCTCTCTAATGAAGATGCAATGGGGTGCTTACTGAAATTTTTTTCATTATCAATTCCTTGTCTTACGAGCATCCAGTGCTGGCCTTCTATACTTTGGTTACTCATTGAGCATTTGATGAGTAGATGAAATTTCAAAGACAACACTGCAGTTCACATTCTTTTGGTCTCAATGATATGTCTATGAACATATGAGATAATAATTTAAAATTTATAAAGTTCTGGAGAGAAAATTTCTTTAGGGCATATATAATTCTACAGATTTTCTGGATTTAAATGCATTCAAAACCTTAAAAGAAAGATTATTGATATGGAAGGAACATTGGAGGATGAGTTTGTATTTTAGCAGAGAGGAAGACAAGCACCACACTACCTTATCTCAACACTATAAGATTCCATGTTTCAACAAAAGATGTGCAATTGATGCTCTCAGGTACCTTAAACTTAATGTACATGTTTGTTTTTCAAATGTGATTGTATGACTACTTCATTGAATATTTTCCCATGCAAAATTCAGACAAGTTTGTCAGTATGTATTGGTGTCTGCCATTGTTAAACAAGGGATTCTTCTTGTCAATGTCCATATATTTCATTAATATCCTATTTCTAAAGAAGCAAATCATAGATTTGTGTATAAGTATGTAACACAATATTATAGAGCAACTTAGATAAAATATACTAAAATTTTCTATAGTGAAGCTAATATATCCAATACCTCACACTGTTAACCATTGTTTGTTTTGAGATAGTAACCTCTAAATCTACTCAACTGAAATTCTGAATTCAATACAATTTTAGTGCCTGTAGCATTTATATAGTACACTAGAAATGACAAACTGTATTAACGAAGTCTGTGTGTCAAGAATAGAAAGTGATACCGAGTCTGATTCTCTCAGTAGGGATGTATTATTAAGCTATAGTAGATTATTGGAAATTCTGCACCCAAAATGAGAAGTAATGTATTCAATCATCTATAAGGCCCTCAGTTCCAGTTGTGCTCTAGTCATTTCTCCCTGGTATTTAATATAACTCTGTGTACTTCTAAGGGATATTACCTGGTTCAACTGAAGTAATGTCTTTGAAAATTATTAACTTTTATGGAGACATTGAAAATTCTGAGATTGTCACTTAAATAGACCTAAAAATAATTTAAGCTAGTTTCCTTTGTTCATATGTTCATTGTTCATTGTTCCTAGCTGATATTTGTAGGAGCTTCGTTCAATGGATTTTATATTATTAATTTCCTGGAAATAAAAGTATATTAAATATCAATTCTATTACTTTTACATTGACAAGCATCTTACTTCTAATAATCATATTATTTTATTAGTATAATTAATAGGATATGTTATTAATAGTTACTACCATGCTTTTCTGTGGTAGCTGTTCTTCATTATACATAACAAAGGTTCTCATGAGACTAAAACCTCAGAGTCTTTCTAAATACAGCAGCTTAGGGGCCATTAATAAATCACTGTAATAGTCAACAAAGTTAAAATTCTACAAAAAAAAAAGGTTCTGTGAGCAAATTAGGGTAAAAACATTAGAATTATTTTCAATACATAATGAATGGGTACTGCATTTATGAGAAAAACCAACAAGCTTCAAGTAATGTTAAGAAACTGCCCTTCAAGGATTATCTATATTTGATAGTATACAGAAGTACTATTAGAGCATATTAACATAGTGCATGTGACAAAAGAATAGGAAAGTATTACCCAAAATTACTCTCAACTAGATCAATTTAATGTTGGAACAAAAAGGTTTATTTATAGCATTTGACCTTATTAATTTGCTGATAATAAATAATAATAATAATAATAATAATAATAATAATAATGTATTTCTCAAATTTCCATGACTTCAATAAAAGTCTCAGTGAAACAAAATGTCCTGCATATCTATTTCAGGTTACATTAGATTAAGTTTCTGCTCCAAATTACCAGTCTATGAGAAAGGTTGATACTTACCATCTTTTTCCACTATAGATTAATTGTGGTGAGTTCCGTGACCCCAAGGTCTTCTGCACTCGAGAATCTGACCCACTCTGTGGCTCTGATGGCCAGACATATGGGAATAAATGTGCCTTCTGCAAGGCGTTGGAGTAAGTATGGTTCTCACTACACCTGGGTCTGGTGAGCATAAGCATCCAGAGTTAAGCTAATGGTTTCATAAGATAGCCTAGAATGTCCTCTCCATATCTCATACAGAGACTGAAGAAATTATCTTCTAGTAAATGGATTAAAAATAAAGTCTCAAAAAATGAATAACAATTATTTCACACATTTTAACTACTCTGTAACTATTATAATGCAGTTTGGAGATTCCTTTGTACTACATTTTGCATATAACAATTTACTTTAATAACTCTTATATTTTTATTATTTTATTTTATGTGTATACATATGCTGTGCCAGCATGTATGTCTAGGTACCATGTACATGCCTAGTGTCCAGGAAGACCAGAAGAGGGCATCAGATTCCCTAGAACTGGAATTACAGACTGTTGTAAGCTGTCATATAGTTTCTGGGACTCAAATCTGGCTCTTCTGCAAGAGCAGCCAGTGGTCTTAAACACTGACCCATTTTTTCCAGCTGTTTTGTTTTTTCCAAAAGCAGTTTATGATGTCAATATTAATTTCAATATATAATAAACACATAATGTGTGACCTATCTATGCAATTTATTGCAGATTTTTCTCAACAGAAGTCTAGGGAGTAGGGTGAGATTTGAATGCATGAAAGGGACATATGCCTAATAAAACCTGCATATGCAGCCTAGTATAAAATACAAAATGTTTCAATATTTGGCTAATTTTCCCACCAGGACAGACCTAGGACTTATCATTTATTGGCATCATTTCTCTTCCGATCTCTCTTTCCCTTTTCTAGAATGAGTTATGGGTTTCAAAAGTTCTAAAGATTAACAACCTAGACTGGCTTAAGACCCATTCCTTTCACAGGTAGATGAGGATACTTAAGTAACTTCTCCTGAGTAGCAATATAGATATCAACAAAATCCAATAATCATATGGGTGGTACTATATTTAAAGCTGCTCTGCGCTCTTTGACAAACACTGAAGATATTGCACTAAATCTACATTATCTTTTTTATGTGTATCTAGGAAAAGTTCTGGGAAGATCAACCTGAAGCATCGTGGGAAATGCTGAATTAGAGCTGGTGTTTTGTGTCAGCTTACCTGTCTTCTCTCACCCTTATTTTTTTTTATTTCTGCTTTTTTTTTCTCTAGCAAATGCCATGAATTCATAAATAATAAAACACAACTTTTTCTCCATGTGGGTCTTATGTAGCTCACAATGTCTATTTCATTTGACTTGTCAATAAAGAAAAGTCTGCAGAATTGATTACATTTTTGGTCTGAGATTAATATAACAAACTGGTACACAAAGAATAATGAACATGATTTATTAATTTGAGCCAATGTCCCACTTTCCTTATCAAAATACACCACCCACCACAACTGAGCCCAAAAAATGGCTCTTTCACTTTTGAAATTTGCATGATAGCAATAAACCTAATACTAATGTGATTCTAAAATAAGTTATTTGAATATTAGATTACAAGATGTTGATGCTTCTTAAGTCCAGGAAAGACATTTTACATAAAAACAAAACAAACATTGTCTACAATGCTTATTTTCACCTGACTTTTAAATAGTGTATTAGGATTGTGTGATATTTAAATACAGTATTTGTCTTCCAGAAAACATTCTGTGGCATTCTGAACATGGAGTAAAGAAATGCTCAAACTGGAGTGAATATTTAACAAGTATTGATTATTCAAAAGAGAACATGTGAATAGTTCTTCTAAAAAGAGCTTCGCTGTAGAATGGGAAAATTGTATAAATCAATAGGAATCAAAAGACCTACAGCAATTTAGTTACTTGCTAGAGAAATCAGTTCTAATTAGAAGAAAACTAAACATTACAAGAGTCCTTTTGATAAGGAAGTCATATACCATGTAGCTTTTCCATTCTATGAAAATCCACAATTTTCAAATACAAGTTTATCTCATTCTGAAAAATTGTTTAGGAAACTCTTGGAATCCAATCACTTGAATACTTTTATGGCCTAGATATGATTTTTACAAATAATACCTTCCTGAGGAACATTCTTTGTTTAACATATATGAAAATTTACTTAAATGCAATAACTTTCACTCTGGTGTAAAAACCTTTTTCTGAGTGTCCAATATGAAATAGATTCTGTTCTAGATGCTTACAGTAACACCCATGAATGGAAATAAAAAGATCAATATTTCTTCAGTAGCTAATTGGACTTACATTTAGTAATGGAAAAATAAAATGAAAAAAGTAGAGGCAATAAATACAATAAATAAAAACCTAGTAAAATGGAATGTGAGTAAGATTTTGTTGAGTAGACAAACAACAAGAAACTAGGGCAGAGAATCCTGAGTCCAAATTGTGTAGCATGGTAGTAATTGTTCAGGCTTTGCCTTTGACTGTGATACATGAGATTTTTTGTTTTTGTTTTGTTTTTGTTGTTTTCTGTTTGTTTATTTGTTTGTTTGTTCTATTGATTGATTGATTTTATGTATGTGAATATACTGTTGCTGTCTTCAGACACACCAGAAGAGGGCATCAGATTCAATTACAGATGTTTCCACCATATGGTTGCTGGGAATTGAACTCAGGACCACTGAGAGAGCAGTCATTGCTCTTAACCACTGAGCTATTTCTCCATCTATATGTGATGCTTGTAACTGTGCATGTTAAGATTATATATCTTACTTAAAGATCAGATGATTTAGCTCAGTGGAAGAACACTAGCCTAGCATGCATATGGCCCTGTATTTATTCTCCTGCGCCACAACATAAGTACAATTAAAATCTCAAATATATCTAAGGCATGGAGATATTACCCATTACGTATATAATCAAAGAAATCTAGACACACTGGAGTGTTATGAGATTCAAGAAAGATTCAAGAAATGATACAGGTTATACAAGGAAAAGCTTATAGACATTTGTTTCAATGTCTAAAGATTATCCCCTTAAAAAAAACTATATAAAATGTAATAAGGATAGAGTGATAAGAGGGTGGGGTTTCAGTCAATGCAACATAATGTGAAAATCGTGACTCTTAAATAAAATTATGAAGTTATTTATCTATTTTTTCAGTGTTCATTCCAATCTCCAAACATTAAGATGATAGGAATGAATTACTAAATATGGTCAAGATATGGGTTAGAGTTGGAACTCATTTTAGCTTACTTAGCTTTACTTTTTAGCTTGTCAAATGAAGATACACTACCTCCTTATATTATGAATAAGAAAAAATGAATGTTGTTCACCTAGCATTTTTATATGTAACAAGAAGTAATATACAGTGGCTGTGATTATTATCTTCAGTCACCATTTACAACATAATGTCTACATCGCTATGAAATTTTATTTCATATATAAAGAATAGTTTTAAAAATATTCGTAGCCTTTTTATATACCATTTTGGAACACTTTATTTCAACTATTTTTGTCCTCAATGTGTGTAAGCTGAGCCACAACTTCTCATTTGGGAAATCATGCCTTTTTACTTAATTTAATTTTATTCAATAAAATAATTTAGCTATTGCTAACATAAACATGCAAACACTGTAATTGCTAGCAGAATCACAGTGTTTCTATGGAATATTGTTTCTAAGAAAATTTCACATCTGTCTCTTACTGGCCCCTCCATCCCAGACAGATCCCTATTATCCTCACAGTGAAGACACTCTTAACACACTGACTTGTTCTTCCCTGAACATTTCTCATATAATCTTCTGCTGCACAGCCTACTTCTTCCCTTACAAACATCTCTAAACTATACGTTAATGCTATCACATATCCTAAGGCTTATTTCCTGTGCTTTTTCTGAAAGTAGACAAAATAACATTTACTTTCTGGTTCCAAACTATTTAGGAATGTAAAGAAAATATAAACGAAACCCAGAAGATCAGAAGTTATATTTCTTAGAAGGAAAAGGCAATCAAATAATAGCAATCAAAATATAAATATTAGGGTTATACAGATGTATACATTTCATGGTTTTTTTATGTTAAGAAAATAAACATTTAATGGTCTTAACTATGGCACACACAAGCACTGATGCCTGTAATTTAAACCACATGAAAAATGCAATAATAGAGAAATAAAAGGAAATATTCACATAGTCTTAGAAAAAGCCAAGTGAAGGAAACAAAGAGTAGAAAGTGACTTACTTGGGTCAAGAAAGAGAAGAAATTGAGAGAAAAGAAAACAAAGGGTTCTAGATTTGCTTGTATGGATGAGTAAGTCCTAAGACTCTAAGCCCACATAAACACCTGTGATAATTTAGCATTGATACTGAAAATTACTTAAGAAAATGAATTATAAGTATTCTTACACGTGCATCTAGCCATGTAGAGTGGCTCATGTGTAACCTTTCAATCTAGTTTTTATTTTTCTAGTCTTCATATGCATGTGAAGACATGATTTATATCTTAAATACACACTGTAAAATAAACTTAAAATAGTAAATGGATAATATGACAATTCACATGTATGAGTGCTCTTTATAAAATTTATAAATGGGTATTTATCGGGACTTCCAGTCTGGGCCCAAGCACAGAGCAGATCCAGGTGGCAGCTCTGTACCCAAGTTCTCTTATGGGGCCAATATGCCTGTTTGATACCACAGAAGGCACAGTTAAATGGCTACCAAAAAGATTAATGAAATAAATAGATACCCACACAAAGCCAGGCCCAAACATAAATAAGATGAATAACAATTGACATCCAGGGAAGAGAAATCTCCCTGAGAATTCCCTTCTTTTTTCTTTCCAGGTAAAAATGAATCACCCATGATGTCTGTTGTTAGAAGTTCTAATCCAGATGCTGGCCTTCAAACTTATACTACTCAGACCGTCAACGTGTCATTGACAAGAACATTAAACAGCTAGAGACTGACATCACTAATCTGAAAAGAATCCCTCGTTTTGCTGCCTGAAGAGACCTCCAAAAATTGCAAAGAACTTTATTGTACTTGGTTTACTCTTTTACAATAGAAAAGACTGTTTACAGCCCTTAAAGAAGAATGTTGCCTTTACATAGTCAAGACAGGGATAGTTAAAGAGAGTATGAAAAAAGATCAGAGAAGGCCCTGAGAAAAGACAGAGAGAGAAAGAGAAAGATGTAAGCTAGTACAAGAATTGGTTTTTAACCTCTCCATGGTTGTCAACCCTACTTCCTCCCATCTTGGGACCATTAATTGGGTTAATTTTGCTTATTTCTTTTGGTCCCTCGGCCTTAAATAGGCTGACTAACTTTGTGAACAACAGATAAATAATTTGGTAGCAAAACCTATTCAGATACATTATCATAAGTAAGCTATGGAAGACCACGAGACTCAAGATGAGGTTGTTACTCTATCCAGGGTGTTCCCAAAACCCATCTGCACCCAACCCAAGACCAAGCAGAGAGGGGCCACCCAGAACTCCCTCTGGCAATCTGAATTCTTGTTTAGGCTGCGAGGCTAAGCACTACAAGAGAATATAAATAAAAGTTAAAAATATTTCTCTGAGTTCCCTGAGGGACAAGCCTGACTGCATAGGGGTTGATGTCAAAAGTAGCCCCTCTCCAGGAAAAAGAAATCGGGATGGGTATGGCCCTCATGCCTCACTGGACAACGACAGGGGGACCGGAGCCATTACAAAGTCCCCCTCAATTACTGGAGGTCAGCCCTCTATCCCTGCCTTCACAAGATTAGAATCACCACAGCCTTTCTATACTTAGATAAGGGACAAGATGTCAGGGCCAGCCCTGCTTATATACCGAAGGCCTAAAATCAGGCATAGGCCTAAAATTAGTAGTAGGCCTGTCATACATGTGTACTATCACCAAGTCTTGGGTCTCTGTGGAAAAACATTGAAACAGAGGGCTATAAGCTATTATAAACAGGCAGCTTTTGTGGAAATTTACCAGCTTGAGTAGTCATAGACCTTGTAAATAGGTAGCCTTGGCAGATAATACCAACTTAGATGTGGACAAGTGAATCATAGGCAGAGTCATAGTGACCCGTCTCCTGAACCTTCACCCAGCCAATACCCGGTTCTGATAGATATCTGTACTCCCCCTGAACACTCATGCTCCGGTATCATCCCCTTCCCCACATCCTGCCTTTTTGTGTTTATAACCCCAGTGTGAATAAGTAAAAATTATGAATTGATTTAATAAAATAAATAAAAATTTAAAAAAGAGTATTCATAATAAAACATCAAAAAATAAAATAAAATAAAATTTATAAATGAATAATATCAAAAAATAAAAACTCATTCAAAAATTTCTTCATTAATACTTTTTAATTTT